ACAGAACCGCCGACCTGCGGCCAGGGGCGCCCTGCCATGGAGCCCACCACCCAGGGGAGACGGCACCCAGTGTTCGAGGAGGCCAGGGAGACACTCGCCGCGGTGCTGCCCACCACCCGGCCCTCCCCAGCACCCACATCCCTGCTGCTCGGTTCAGCGGGAACGAGTGAACCCGGCGGAAAGCCTGACCGCGGCGCAGGGTGTCATGGGGCGCAGGAGCTCCCAGAGCCTCAGGCTGCGAGCTCCCAACGGGGACCCGGCAATCATGGCATCACCTGAGCTTTGCTCTGAGGCCATTTATTTGGATAGCACCAACAGCTTCAGACACTGGCATTGTTTTGGGGGACGGACTGTGAACCAACCACCCTTACTGCTGCTCCTTTTCACCTCCAAGCCTCCAGCCTTGTCACCACCAGCAGCAGGCACAAACCAGGTGCTAGTGAACAAATCCCAGAGCTAGGGACTACAGAGAAACCTCACAGCAACCCCTGGGCACCAGATTAACTCCCACAGGCTGCAGCAAGCTCTGGGCATCGCCCCAGGCTGACAGGACTCCACACTGGGACCGGGAAAAGCATCACGTGGAATTTCACCCCAAGACAATGCAGGGGGCAATATCATCGATCCACTTCCTCCTCGGATCTCACTGGGATCAAATCCCTGCTACGATCCAAGTGGCCTGTCTCTGCACAGGGACACAATAAAAGGGCCCTTCCGTGAGGCTCCGGCAACCCACCGAACTGCCCGGGAAGCCAAGGCAAGCGCAGAGCGGCAAGGGAAGACGCTATCATCCCGAGCAGGGTGTGAGGCACGGGGTGTGCTAAGCCACAGAGCCGAATCCTCCCCAGCCGAGAGCAGTGGAGGAAGTGGCACACAGGCTAAGAAACCACAGAGCCAAGACTGTTAACGAGCCCGTGGAACAAGGGCAGCCCCGGCCAAGTACAAAATAACACGGAGCAGGCCAGGCTTAAACAGGGCAGGATTACTCCGCCAGCTGCAGGGCTGCTGGACAGACCTCAAGGCTCTCAGATATTTGGAACACAGCAGGAAGGACTGGGGGATATGGACATCACAAGGAGAAACAGGGATCCAGGCCCGTTGCAGATAAGGAAAATCTCAAAATGAAGATATCGGGGCGCTGCAGTGGCTGAGGGAGAGACAGGAGGCATTCCAGCACACGGTGCTCCGTGCAAGGGGACAGGATGCTAACGAAGCTATCAGATGGCAGAGCCGAGGAGCAGCCCACACACGCAGGATCAGGGTACCCCAGCCCACCCAGCAGCTCTGTCAGGCATCGGGAAGACCTCGGTTGGGAATACAGGTCACCAGAACTGGATGCACCGCACACCCGGGTCCCCTGCAACAGCCTCGACGCGATCCCTGCCCGCCCTGCGCTCTCTAAGCCAGAGATGAAAAGAAAATGCATTTGCTGAGCCCCATTTGATGCTGTCATCGTCCCCACCACACCCCTCTGGGCTGAGAAAGTGGAAACCCTGACTGCAAGCGCGTGTCCGGCCAGCGTGCCGCCTCCAAAGAGGCCCAACACCAGGCACACGCCTCCCACCAACGGCCACAACCCGTGTCCGCCCCGGGGAACGCTCCCGTTTACCCAGAAGACGTCGTAGATGAACAGGCCCCCAAGCAAGATGCAGCCAGTGCTGACGTTGTTCAAGTGCAGCAGCTCCACCCCATTGAGGGAGAACGCCAGCCCAAAGAGATTGTTGGCAATCCAGTGCTGAGAAAGTCAGGAAAAAAAAAGAGATTTGGGTCCTGCCGCACGTGCCGAGCCAGGGCCTCGGCCTGCAGAGGCCTTGCTTCCAGGGAAAG